GGTGTCCTGTGGGCGTGGTTTGGTGGGCGTGGAAAGGGAAGGATACTGCAAAATCCCCATTCCCTGCCCACCCCTCTAACCTGCTTTCCAGCTCCGTTCTCCTGTGCCGGGCAACCAAAGAAGATCCAGCCAATCAGCTGGGACTCAATGGGAGGCGGAGAATAGATGGGGGCGGGGCCAGTCAGAGGCGGGTTTTGCCAGTTCTCCGAACCTCTCAAATTTTCCCCCACCGGTTCTCCAAAACTGGTCAGAACCGGTTCTGAATCCCACCTCTGCATGCCCTCCGTCCCAACTCACCAAACCACCATAATTTTTGTAAAGTCCTTCCCTCCGATTCAAGGGAAGCTCCTGTCTTTTTTTGCTGTTGTTGTTCGTGCCATTTCAGAACGTCAAGATTAAAAACTAACAAAGGTAAAGTCTCCATAAAGAGGAATAAACAATATCGCGTAGGTAGGCTAGGAACGCAGAAAACAAAAACAAGAGAAATGAACAAAAGTATAAAAAGGAAGTTGAGTTCCCAATTCCTTTGCCAAAGGGATAAATAAAGCGTCAATAATTCAACCCTTTTGGGTTTAGCTTGATTTTAGTTCTCAATCCTACCGTTTAAGACTGCCTAGTCCTCAACTTATGACCACAATTGACCCACAACATACACACACACACACACAAACATTTTCATTGTTAAGCGAGACAGAAGTGAAGTGATTTTGGCCCATTTTACAACCTTTTTTGGGCCACAGTTGTTAAGCGAATTGCTGCAGTGGCTTGGTTCAGAACACGGTTGTGAAGCGAATTCTGGCTTTGCGTGGAGTGACCATTCAAAGTTACAATGGCACTGAAAAAAGTGACTTATGACCATTTTTCACACTTACGACCGTTGCAGCATCCCCACAGTCATGAGAGGCCAGGCGAGGAGAAGCGCCCCTTGATGTGAGGGACGTTGAGTTGGCCACGCCCACCCAGTCACATGACCACCAAGACATGGCCACCACCTAAGCCACGCCCACAGAAGCGGTTGTTAAAAAATTTGAATCCCACCCCTGTGTGGTACCCGTTGTGCTCTCATAAACCTCCTTTTTACACAGTACTCATTGTTCTTCTCCTTGTGCAGGTGATTCCAAACCAGGAAATTGTGGTTCCTACGTCTGAGCAGGGAAGAGGGGTGGGGTGGAAATTAACCAGAATCTCCAGGTGTAAATATTTTCCCATTGTAGATATTCCTTTTAAAAATTAAAGATGTTCTGTGGTCAAGTTTTTCTTGGTTTTTTTTTTTCAGCCCCAGGCCAATGCCAGGGTGTGCTTAAATATAGTTTATTTAATAAATCATCGTAGGCTAGAATGTTGTTGAGCCCAAACGATAAAAACCACAATACGGCTTAGTTATGATGTGTAAATCCAGGCTGTTTAAGTCTTGACGCCATCCGGAAAGGGAGGGTTGGTACTGCATGTCCTGTACTTTATAGAGTTTTTATCTTGGGTCAATCATTAAATTGCCATATGCCCTGGATTTATCATAACATCCACTGATCTCATGGGAAGAGCTTAAATGCTAGGATTATGAAAGAGAGGGAAGGAGGGAGGGATAGGTAGATAGATAGATAGATACATAGATAGATAGATGATAGATAGATAGATAGATAGATAGATAGATAGATAGATAGACAGACAGACAGATAGATATCAAATAGATATCAGATAGATAGAGATAGGTAGAGATAGATAGAGATAGGTAGAGAGAGAGAGAGAGAGAGAGAGAGGTGTAGATAGACAGACAGACAGACAGACATAGACATAGGTGTAGATAGATAGATAGATAGATAGATAGATAGATAGATAGATGGATGGATGGATAGCTGGATGGGTGGAGGGGGAACAGGTAGATAGAGAAGATGATAGATTACATTACAATAGTTTAGATTAGATTAGATTAACAGACAGATGATAGATAGATAGATAGATAGATAGATAGATAGATAGATAGATAGATAGATAGATAGATAGATAGATAGATAGGCAGGCAGGCAGACAGACAGACAGACAGAGGCAGACAGTCAGAAGAAAGGAAGGTAAGTAGGCAGGTAGGTAGCTAGGAAGGAAGGAAGGAAGGAAGGAAGGAAGGAAGGAAGGAAGGAAGGAAGGAAGGAAGGAAGGAAGGAAGGAAGGGATAGAAAATAGTACAGGCGGACAAAGATTAGATAAGATAGATATGATAGACAGACAGTGAAGGAAGGAAGGAAGGAAGGAAGGAGGGAGGGAGGGAGGGAGGGAGGGATAGAAGATAGTATAGGCAGACAGACAAAGATTAGATAGACTAGACTAGATGGATAGATAGATAGCAGTAGGTAGGTAGGTAAGTAGATAAGATAGACAGAAAGACAAAGACAGAAAGGCAGAGATGGATGAACGGACAGATGGATAGAAAGACACATCATAGAATCATAGAATTGTACTGCTAGAAGGGAGCTGAAGGATCATCTTCTAGCCCAGTGTTTCTTAACCTTGTAGGGGGCGTGCATAAGCGCACCAAAGTGCCAACCGTCCCTGTCCTATTGTTTCCTTTATATTTCTTATATGTACTCCTTTCTTGTATTCATAACTGTGTTTACCCTTATGCCTATTATCTTGTAAGCGATTGACAAATCAAATAAATAAATAAAATAAAATAAATTTGAAGACGTTTAGACTTCATCTCCCAGAGGTCCCTAGCCAGCATGGAGACCTTATTTGGCATGTACAGGAAAAGCAGACAGAGAATAAGGTAATACAACCCACACAAATAAACATTTATCTATGTTTTACCCATATCACACAGAGAGAGAGGGACAGAAAGACAGACAGACAGAGAGAGAGACAGACAGACAGAGGGGGAGAGAGAGAGAGAGAAAGCGCGCGCGCGAGAAATCGGTTGAGTGTTCTCTTCAATTCTTTGTTCTTCTTGATTCCTATTTATGGCTCCCTTTTGATTGCCCTTGATTTAAAAAGCTTCTCATTACAAGAATCTGATGCTTTTTTTAGGTAAACTGTTAACATTTTTATTAAAATCACACACAGTATCCTACATTTCCCCTTTATTAAAACAGTCTCCTTGACATGAGCCCATAATAACTCCTTCAAGTTCAGAGCAGGAGTGATTTAATTTTAGAGTTAACAGAGTTGGAAGGGACCTTGTAGGTCACCTAGTCCAACCCACTCGCCCAAGCAGGAGACTGTACACCATTTCTGACCAGATGGCTGTCCAGTCTCTTCTTGAAAGCTTCCTGGGATGAAGCTCCCACAAGATTCATCACTTCAGATCAATTTTTTCTCCTTAATTTCTAGGTTGAATCTCTTCTTTTCTTGCCCACAGTCTTGAAAGCGGGGACCTCATGTCTTCTTCCAAACTTCAATTTCCACTCTACACTGCTGGATTTCTTAGTGGTACCTTATCCATCTGTCTCACCCAGGTCTGACCTTTTCAGGCCAATCAAGGTCGCCCAGCCGTAAGTCCAAGCCCTATACATATCCGTAAGCTGTAATATTAATATCTATATCTATATCTATATCTATATCTATATCTATATCTATATCTATATCTAT